CAGATCCACAGCAGGATCAGATCCACAGCAGGATCAGATCCACAGCAGGATCAGATCCACAGCAGGATCAGATCCACAGCAGGATCAGATCCACAGCAGAACCACCTGCCGTTTCGGTGATCATACCTCTACTGTCGTCTTTCCTGAAGCCGAAGCCGCTGCCTCCTCGTTCTTGCCTTCGTCCTTCTGCGATGTCCACCCTCAGTGACCTGTCGCCTAGCAACTGCAGAGGTCACATCGTTAGTCTGACAGGATAGCACAGCTGCATAGCCTGTTTGAATTCCTGATCATCATAACCAAAAATGCACCAGCAGATCATCTTAGAGGAGTTCCCAGTATTCCTGAATAACTTTACAACGGGTATAAACCATGTGCTGCTCTAAAAGCCCCTCACACCTTCACCATTTAGACAGCTTTTTTCTGTTGTACGAAAAATCTGGAAAACGCCGGCAGATGTTAGGAGCACGCTGAAACATGTTGACATGCAGAAAGCACAAAGAAATTTTGCTGTATGCCAGCATGCCATACGCGGGTCATAAGTTACAGGTATATTATCTGATTGTTGACATACGTTAGGTTACGTTATATGTTGTGGCGTCTAGCTTATCCAAAACCTATGAGTAACTTGTGCATAACTGATGCGTAACTTCTCAAGAACTGATCTTCAACGCATTTCAACATTACTGACGTGTTCCAGACGACCACTGAACGTGTTTCTAACTTACAGCTACTGTTTAATGGCGTATTGGCCGCGTTTTGGTATAAAAGGAGGTTGACAGGAGGAAACTGTCAGTTCTCCTCCAGACTTCATCCCCATCATAGGGTGAATGTGAATGATCCTCCCTGCGTTCATGCCCACGGCCAATAAACTTCCTAGCAGACGCTCTTTTTTTTGGGCAGGCGCTAAGCAGCAGCTAGGTTAATACCGCAATAAAAAAGGTATTTTTATGCAGGCCGGGCACCCCCAGGTGCATTACTGCCCCGCTCAGGACACTGGCTTGTGACATTTCATAGGCATTAAGCAGCCCATGCATAAGTTCGGCTGTTGTTGGACATAAGTTCTGTACTCATTATGAATACTCTACATACGTGCCCAAAATAAAAATAAAAAAATCCATAGAAAGTTCAGCGTATGCCAGCGTTTTAGGAGATTCTGTGACATCAGGCATACGCTGGCTAAATTAGTAAGGTGTGACAGGTTAAAGGTATAGTGGAGGATGTTCTTTTTGCGGGGGGATCACCTAAATAAGTGGTCCTCCTAATTGTCAATCATTCTGGTAAAATGTTTACATAAAGGCCGTCCTTCGTGCTCATCCCCCCATTTCCACGTTAGTGGAAAAATTGCAAATCTTCTTTAGGAAAGTAAGCTCGCATGAGCGATGCAAACGGCAACTTTTAAACAGAGCGTGCAGGAGGAGAAATGGGCTCTAAATGCTGTCGCACACCTTTGATAGGCGTTCCCTCTGGGGAGCGGGTACAAGGTTGCGCATGTGCATTTTATTTAAAAAGACAGAGGGCAGCTCTTTTAAAAAAATGTGAGAAAATCCTCGACTATACCTTTAATATCAAAGCTGTGTTTGCTTTTTCAGGAGATACTTACCGCACCGTCGTACGTCAAAGCTTCTTTTAAGGATTCCAAATCATCAAACTCAACATAACAAAACCCTAAAAGAGACAAAAAAATAAAATAAAAAAATTAGACTCATAGTTTTTATCCTTTATCTTCAGTCTTCAGTAAACTAGTATAACAACTTTGATTACTCCAACTCAATAAAGCAATAAGCTTAATAGTTTCTAAAAACAAAATAGTTTTTGAAGATATTGAAATCTTATTTTGATATTTTATATATAAATATGGAAACTTATCAGTGTTTTAGAATTAAGTTTCTTATGCAGTTATATTTTTGATTATTCAAATAACAATTGTATTCTATACACCAATTTAGTAAATATCTGATTTTTTTCCCCATTATTTACATGATTTTTATATTTTACTATGCATTTTATAAATAAAACTACTTTTTATGACCTGTTAACATGGATCATAGAATGAGTTTTAGACTTCAGCTAACAGCAAACACATTCTTTCCTTTCAAACACAACAGACATGTATTCATGTCATGCATTCTTGTATTTCTCGTTTGTATCAATTAAAGAAGTTTCCAGATTGGGGATACTGTTAAACATGGCAACAGGGGCACCAACTACAGCCCTCTGCTGCAGGGTGACAGCAGAGGGCGCTACAGAGCAACAGTTATTCCAGCAGCTCAATAAGGGAGTCAGAAAATAGACAGAAACTTCGGTGTCAGAAGTTTGTAGTGAAAAACAAAAGGCATGAAGTAGAAAAGATGAGTTCATTTCAACAAACAGACAGATGGCATCTTCAGGGCATTAATCATCTTTTCTCGGCATGTAAACAAACCTGTTCTGCCTTCAACCAAAGCAACACAGAGTCAAACTTCAAACTTAGAAAGAGGAAAACTGCAGAGCTCTTCTAACCTATTTCTGAGCAGAAAAGCCGTTGCTTTTACAAACAGTTTTCAATCTGAGGAGTCTGAGCTGATTGCAGAATGCATTGCAGCGACAGTGGAGAGAAAAACTAACAGCAGAAAGCCTCCAGTAGAACCAGGGAGGAATCTCAGCAGACTGGCACAGCTACTCCCTAAATACCAGATTTCTGGATTTCTGTGACTCAAAAGTCATAGGCAGAAGGAAGCCATTGTCCTGATGTTTTTTAAATCAGTGATTTAATAGGCAGGTTGATATATTATCAGATTTGTTATTTGTATTAATTATGCCAGATTGGTACATTCCCATTAGCTGTGTTTCCATCAACATGTGATGCCAATTTAGAGCAAACTTTTAAAAAATGGAGGGACAAAAACAGGAAATGGGAATTAAACGTGCATCTAAATTTAAACCTCCATCCATTGGAGCAAATAAACGAGGCTTGGTGAAGCGCAGCGTAGTCATACGGTGGCGTTACTCTGTGCTGTAGAAAGCAGTGAGTAGCATAAGCTAGCTAACGCGGTGTAGGTACCAGATCTGCTCGGGGCCCCGCCCCTTCTTATAACATAAACGTATGGCAACTCCACTCGGACAAACTGTATTGCATCTGTTTCTTAAGGATCAAGTCTCTTTTGGAGTCTCAACATATAACTACCTATGTTTGCTATTATTTTACGTTTCATTGATGATCTAAAGTCGCCAAAAGTAGAAAACAATCATTCAAAGTCTTGAAAGAAAGTACGTTGATCTCTGCCATTTAACAAGATGACAATAAAAAGACTAATTTTTATTCTTTTCATTAAGATCTGAGGACAGGAAGGAAAAATGGAACATGTAAAAAATGACTTTCGTAGATATTTTAAACAAATCAAACAGTTATTTTACTTCTAGAAAACAATAGTTGTTTTTGAGATGAAGTTAAAGGTATTGTAGCGTAATATGGCTAACTGACTGAGCTAAAAGAAGCTAACCTGTTAGCTACTGAGCACAGCTAGCTACAGCGCTACCCAGCTTTCTCCTTTATATCTTGGTCTAACAGCTACTTTGTTCACTATAAACAGATTTTAAAAATAATCTTGTCATTAGACAGATCATTAGACGCTATGGAAGCTACAGACTCAGCATACTGACTCTGCACGATGTTATCATCGTTGTCTGGGCAACCACTATGTTTTACAACATGTGGCAACGTTCAGCCAATCATGTAACGTAACGTCACTGGCAGGAAGCAGGATGAGAGCAGATCTGGTACCAACACCGGACCACAGATCAGCAAGGGAGGTTTTGGATGCGTTGTAAACAGGTAGCTGGTATCAGTTATGCGCTGTATATCAGCCATGGTCAGCGATGGTTACAGCCATCCAACCAGCGGCGCCAGACACACATGATCAGGTAAATCACAATTTCTCTAAAAATGGATCTAAAAAAAGTTTTCCATCTCCTCTTCAACACATTTATGCTTAAAAAAAAACACCTCTAGCTGGGGTAAAATCTTTTCTTGGCAAAATCTAGTAAGTTATTAAAAAAGTTACTTATCACGTGGAAAACTTTTAGTTCCAGCTGGTTTGAATTCTGTAAAAATCTTCTGTAAACGATCTTTTCCCATCCTGTCAATCAATTAATTAAAAAAATAAAAGATCAATAAAGTACCAATTAGCAAAATAATTAAAAGACTTTTTACCACTGATTTTCAACACTTCCTCTGCCAAACCCTGACAGCATCCCTGATCTGAACCCAAACTCAACTCATCTTAGTCCTAAACCTGGCAGTTAGCATAAAAAGCAGAGGACCAGAGAACCGTCCTCGATTTCATGGTGAACTGGGAGGAATTGTCCTCACTCAGATGCCAAAACAGGAGCGTACACACCTGAGAGCCAACATGTTCCAGCATAAAGAGAAAGAGCCATATCTGCCATTACTGTTCTGATAACCATAAAAAACTCTTCATTGGTCTTTCTTGGCTAACTTTATAGCTGTGACTGTCTGTCGCAGCAATCATAGCCACATAATTACAGATGTTTCTCTGAAAAGATACAAAGTTTGTTTCAGATCACGGTTATGATAAACCTCTGATCAATGAACTAAGCAGCCTCTGAGCTAAAATACAGTCCTGTTTTAGTAATAAACATTTATTGGTTATTATGAATCCATTGAAAAAGGAAAAAATCTTTTTTATTTTAAGAAAAACCTATTTAATTTAATCAAATTACATCCAGAACTTTGCTGAACATTCCTAAAGTCTTCCAGGGATCAGAGGTCTGGTTAAAATAATAACATGCGGTCACCTTTGAACTTGTCTGTCTCTTTGTCTCTGACCAATCGCACGCTGCGGATGCTGAGCTCTTTGAAGATGACGTCGATGTCGCCCTGCACCGTGTTGAAAGGCAGGTTTCCTACGTACGCTGTGAACGGGGGCTCTGTGGGCAGTTCCTTCTGCTTCCGGGGGCCTCCAGGCCCGCCGCCGCCGCGGGGTCTGAGGGGGACACACAACAGAGACAAGCATGAGAAGACTTCTGGATCGGTAGGACGGTCAACACCAAAAAACGCTGAGTCTGTTTAAACACGAGGAGAAAACTAAGTGGACTTAAGGAGGAAGCTGCTTTATGAAGAAAACATCTGGAGCTGATGGTGGAAGGTTCGAACCAACCCTGCAAACCCATTCATTCACAAACAAACCGTTTTTCATTCTCATTTTATTCCTGAAAATAAACCAGCATTAGTCTAAAATGTTTAATTTCTTAAGGCGCGAACTGATTCAGGTGCAACTTAAAACGTACAGCTATTAGGAGTAAAAATTTTTTTTAAAAATCAGATTTTTATTCAGCAGGCTGAGCTCTTTAGAGTAATAATCAACAACAAAACAAAAGGTCCAAAGATCCCTTAATGTTTTATTTCTATCAAACCTTTGGAGGCACTGGGATCATTAGCAGGTAAACAAGGAGACAATTACCTGAGAGATCGTTTAGAAAAACAAGGATGTGTTAGAAAATCTCCATCAAACCAACAAGCTCCCACCTGGGACCGGACTTCATCGACCTCCAGAACCGTTTTAGTTTCACCTGAGGTTCTTAATCATTAAACTAAACACACTATTTCAGTAATGGATAAATCTATAGATTCATAATTAAAATAGTTTTTTGTGTGTGCGTTGATTTTTGTGGCTGTTTCTTTTTTCGTTTTTGTTTTCTGTGCTTTTTATATCAATTTAACACTAGAAAAACAACCTACAAATAAGTAAAAATGTCTTAAATTAAGTGTTTTTACCCTTAATTTGAATGAAAGATATAGTTTGCCAATGGAATTAGTATTTTTTTACTCTTAAAATAAGCTAATTAGATAATATGCACTTAAAATAAGACAATGCAAATGTGTTTTCTTATTTTAAATGTAAATTGTCTTGTTTCATTGGCAAGATGTCTTTTTTGCCTCCTCAATCTGAGAACAAATGCACTTATTTTAAGAAGAAATTACTTATTTTGATTTTCATTTTTTCCAGTGCAGGAAATGATGTCTGGTTTATTTTATTTGGCCGCTGCCGTTTTTTTTTAAATCAATAACAGGAAAAGGAAAACAATGAATAAGGATATTAATAACCTTTGTACTGTACTTTATAATAAACTTTTGGTTAAAACAAAGAACTTTGAAGTAAAAATATTGATCTAAGTTTAGTAAATTAACATTTCTAAATAAACAAACATTGGGATTATAGAAAGGAGCATCTTCATTGAAATTTAAATAGCAAAACATAAAAAATATGTGATAAAACAAATGTTCTTTTCATTTTATCTTAAAGAATCAATTAGATCTTTAATAGAAAGACTGGAAGTGTGTTTAAAATGTTAATAGTTTAAATGTCTTTATTCTTAATTACTGCTGATTAATCATTATTCTTGAGCGAATGGTTTATTTTAGAGTCTATGTCTCATTACTGCAGATCGTCTCACTATCTTTAAAATCATGTCTGTTTCTGTTGGACACTTCAGCACCTCAGCAAGGCGATTAGCTCAGAAACAAACCACTTAGTAATGCTGAATAATAAACAGATTGAGGTTTTTCTATGTTTTAAAACTCACACTAGGGGTGTAAATCACACCCATTGTAGCGATTCAATTCAGCATCAATTTCCTGACCCAACGATTCAATTATTTTTGATACTCAAGAATACACCAGGATACGATACGATTAATTGGTTCATTTTTATTTTAATTTTTTTTACCTTACAAGCTAGACAATGTTTCAAATTTGAAATAAATCAATGAAAGCTGTTATATCATTATACATTTTGTTGGAGAAACAGCAAATAACAGAAGTAGCAAATTTGTACTCCACCCAGGACTATGAAAACCCCATTCACTGAACAATAATCACGCCTCTGTGTTATAGATTCTGAAAGGCCTTGCATCATAAAATACTGCAAGTGGAAGGAGGGTAAGTGGCTAAAGGAAGCGAGGTAAAAGGGAAAAATAGGTTTAGCGCCACCGCAGTGCGGGAGTCAGAATTTTGTCCAGGAGCAAATGGATAAAAAAAAGACCCGAGGGGGGAAAAAATAAATCGATACTCTTGCGGAGTGTCGATGCATCGAATTGTCGGCTGCTGGATCGATGCATCCATACAAAGCGATTATTATTTACACACCTAACTAACAGTCAAATAGACAATACTTTATTTCTTTTCTTTATGGCCAACTTTGGATCCAACATGGCCGCTTCTCATATGAACAAATCATTAAAAAACACTGAAAAAGTGTATCTGAAATCCAAGTTGCAATTAGCGACTGCAGCTCGAAACTAAACAAATTAGAAGTGGAAATTGCACAAGAAGAAGCAGCTTAAATGACGTTTAGAAGTACTAAGAAGAGCTTTTTAAGCGGTCGCCATTGTGGACTCCCAACATCTTTGTTTTTGTCGCTTTATAAGCCGTTAACTATGGGCTCAGGTCTCTCCCGGCTCAAAGTATCCCGGTTATGGCCTAACTAGTGGAAATAAAGTCGGACAGCCTTTTACATCTATTTAGGTTTCTGGTTTGGAATGTTTTATAAATAACTTGAATAAGCATTCATTCATTTTCTCCCTGTCAGTCCTTGTCAGGGTTGCGTTGGGGCTGGTTTCTATCTCCGGCGGTTTATAGGTGAGAGACGGGGTGCACCCAGGACAGGTCGCCAGTCTGTCGCAGATAAGTTTAACAGCGTTTGAGAAAACCAACATTTTATGTTTATTTACTCAGTATCAAATACAGCTGACACAATCAATTGTTCAAATTGTTGATACGAATCTTTAAATTGAGCATATTTTAAAAGAATTAAGCCCTTCATGTTATGGAAAGACCCTCCTGGGGTTTGTCAAGAAAATGACCGCTTCTCATTAAACCAGTCGATAGATTAGATCAATCAACCACAGATGAACTCATTGGTGAAAAACACTTTAATAACCTATTTTCTATTCTGATCCTGTTATTTCTAATAACTAGTTTTTCTTAAGTGGTAAATCTCCCGTTACCAAACAGTGTGTCAATAATGGTTTCTTTGTTTATATGCATTTCTTACTCTTGTGTTTATCTGCATGTCTGTATTGTGTTTTACTTTGATGATGAATTTCACCACTGGTGGAAAATTTCATTTCTATTTTATTTCTAACATGAATAACTTAAGTGCTGATTCCCCTTCTGTGGCTTCAGCTACAAGTTTCCAATTTTTTGATGTTTTTTTTGCCACATTTCACACCCAATTGTGAACTTCAGGCATATAAATGAAGCTAATCTCAACAAACAAACCAATATTTCCTGGTTTCTCTATGATGTAGAGATTAAATCTCTTCAGCTAACCGTGGGTTCCCCCCATACAGGAACCAATCAGAAACTCCCCCATGGAGGGAATCCTGACCACCTCTGTGGACCTTCTGCTGCTCCATTCTGAGCTCCTCCCCATCGATTTACCTTCAATCAGATACATTAAAAGTTAAACATTTTATTACAGGTAAAACATGTAAAAACCTGACTGGACTTCTATGATCTCTAAGCAACGTCTCCCCTAATCACTATATAGTGGTTACGCCATTTTAGATGAGTGTCTGAACATCTAGTGATGGAGTCGTAATTTCCCACTATGCACCTTGAAAACTAGTGATCAATTCATGGTCACTAGACTAGGAAATATATCCCAGAATGCTTAGCGAGAGCTCTCCTTGCACAGCATCATGGGATTTGTTTGGCGGCGAAACAGAACAGGCAAAGTGCGAGGAGGCGGGTTAACATTACTAATGGGGAGTAAAAAGTAGTGATCATCTCTCTGTATGGTTAGTTAACTGAGTTCACTATATAGTCCCCACTTTATATGGTGATTTACCTTTTTAGGGCAAACATTGTACACAAACACTGTATTTGGATATCCTGAAATGCACAGAGTGATGTCAGACTTGCAAACTATTCATGTTCTGACTGTCACATAACTTTAGGTGCAACCTTCCAAGAAAATCTAGATAGATTCCAGCCATAGGTTAATATTTATCTATAATTAATAATTAAGGCATTTTAAGTTATTTTACTAAGTGTTTCCGAGATGAGTTGGGTTTTAATGAGCAGATATCTTTGAGAAATTTTGTGTAATCCATCTATTTATATATTAATGCATATTTAAATAACATTCTTAGTATAACACAGAAACTATGTGCAACTTCCAAACTTTGTGCATGTGTGATTTTCCTTTCATTGGTCCTTCTGATTTAATATTTAGAGCACGAATTGTCTAAAAAAATTAATTTGGATGATAAAGTTGTTTTTAACTAATATGCAAGTGTTTTTTTTCCTTCTTTTTTTTAAATTAAGATCGAATTGATGGTATGGAAATGATGACTCAGCATCTGATATTTGAATGAATAATGTGAGTGAATGGGAACCTACAGGGTGGTCATTAAAGCTGCAGACATCCTGCTGAAAACATACTGGTTCCCCAATAGAACCATTAAAACACACAGAAAGCAGCAGAGTCCGCCGCCATGTCCACTTTAACCCCACTGTGTCGGTATGTGAACATAGATCCTCATCCACAGGCTCATGTCTGAACCTGTGGATGCCTCTGTGGACACATGATGCAGCCATGCGGGCAGCTTGCAGCTGCAACCCGGCTCCACCTCATCCTCCATCAAACGCGCCACTTGTGACGCCCAGCGCCAGAACCCGATCACTGCTATACACTCCGGTCACAACAACAATTTTCTGTTCGAGATCAATTCGCCACATCACTGCATTTATAAGCAGTTAGCTCCAGCATCCCCGGTGTTTCCCGGCTGCCCTCACCGGCCTCCCCACACCCCAGCGCGGCCTGGTCCCACAGGCTCTTTGGGCACAGAGCCGACAGCTAGCAGAACCGCTCCATTTGGAATGTGTAGCTGGAGTCCGCACGCGGGATTCAGACGGAATCGGTTGAGTCCGGCTGCGCATTGACGTTTAGTGGCGGGGACTTACCCTCTACCGCCGCCGAAGCTGCCATAGGCCCTATCATCGTAGTCCGCCATTACTGCTGCTGTGTCTGAGAGGAAGGTCCTTCACGTCACAACCGAGCGGGTTCAGCTGCCCGCTCAGCGCCTGACCGAAAAACAACAAAGGCAAATTAACTAAACCACTCTAAACTAAAGCTAACCAGACCAGTATAGTCCCAATCCATGTAATTATGTGAAACTCTAAAAGAAAATTCTAAAACAATTGAAATTGTCTAGATTAATATGGAATTACAATCACAATTTAGGAAAATTATAATCTCAAATAACAGTTTTTAAAACATGGAACATGGTAACAAAATAGATGAGATCAATAAAATAAGATAAGGAATTAGGTAAAAGAATAATATATTGAAATAACGTATTGAATAATGTATTAAAATACTTATTGTAAAGGAAATCACATTGTGAAATAGTATGAAAGGGAACACCAGCTTTGAGATGTGATCTTTTTTAAAGAGGTCATAGAATGCAAAACCGATTTTACACTGTCATAGACTAATAATGATAGTTTAGTGGATGAAATGGATGTACAGAGAAGTTCAAACCCCATCAAACACTCCTTTCTCTGCAAATCTCACAATTCTAAACTTCCACCATAAAACGGCCTAATGCAAATGAATCACCGAATTGATGTAAATTTGGGGATGTTGCCTTATTTGGTTCTGGCCTGCACGGAGAAAGGGGAACATTTTCACAATCTTCTCAGAGATCTGAAGACTTGACAGGCACGGATTATGTTTTTCTTGCACAGTTCAAAGCAGGATTTGCTAAACTTCTTTTACTGAAACACGGGCTGCTGACTAGACAGGCCGGCCATTCGAACTGAGCCATCAGCTCCGGGGCTGGTCCGGGAACCCCAGCGGTCAGAGACAGAGTAGAACCGACCCGGTGATGGTATGCTTCCCCTCGCCTGCCCGGTAAGGCAGGCAGGGGGAAGCACAGGGCCACTACCGTTCGGCTACTGTCATGGGGTCAGGTTCGGTTGCTCCATCCCCAGAGCTCACGGTTCTACTCTGCTGTACTTTAGTCGACCAAAATCCCGGATGATTTTGAAATTCCCCCGGACATCTTTTTAGGTATGAAATGTAGGACATGTCTGGAAAAAAGAGGATGTCTGGTCACCCTACCATATCAACAATTTTTCAGTGAGTGAGTGCTTGTTGCTATGATGCGTCTTTGCTCAACATCTTTGCTCGTTGTAAACCAACCAATCAGTGCACAGCTCATCTTAATATTCATGAGCATACCATAAAAGGAAGAAAACCTGTCGTTTTATTCTTGGGCTTATAACCAGGCTTGCATCAGGGCTCATAGAACAGCAAATATGCCATTTTTAGCCCAACCAATGTTACACACCCATTCAGAGACCATAAGGACAGCACCAAATACTCTATATAATCATTCTATGACTCCTTTAAACAATTTAGATTGTTCAGTACACAATTTCAACAATGTTAAATTCATCCATCCATCCATTTTCTGAATGAGAATAATAGTGTTATATACCTGTTAAATGTCCTCTTAAGACTTTACAAGATGCCTGCAAGCTTGAGGGCTAAGCTCCCATTAAGATATTAGCTGTTGCTGTGGCTCAAGTCTTCTGAACACTGTTTGGGTCAGAGTTTAGAGTTCTTTTCTGCCATCTGCTGCAGTTACCTTCAAAGGTTGAAGGTCAAGTCTCCCAGGTCCTCTTTAATCATCACCATGACTTTCTCTTTATCGTAAAACCTTGAATAGCTGAGGACACTACTGCCATGGCAAGCGCATCCACAGTTGCTACAACAAGTGCCATTCAAATAAGCCAGATTTTTGCTGCTAGGACCAGGAAGCAGTACGCTTACTAGCCTCAATGCAGTAAGCATAGTGACCTAGCTGCTGCTAGGAGCTATATTACAGCTTTGGCTTGACAGTTTGTAGGCGCAGCCCATCTCACAGAGTTAAGAAAAATATATTGTTTTGGACATGTAGTGTGTATGACATATACTATTTTACTATTTACGCACCCTGATATTTTGGGGGTTTTAAAACACCAAACTTCAACCATTCTCTACATTTGTATAACTATTTTTTTTTTTGTGGCTGGGCACACTCTTCAAGATCGGGTGAGGAGCTCAGTTACCCAGGAGTACCTCGGAGTAGAGTCGTTGCTCCTGTTGGGCTATATTTCCACAATGGAGTCAAATCAAATCAATTTGATGGACCATTTCAAACCATCCCCCTTCCTGTTTGCACAAAGAAAACAAGGAACGTCTGGAAACTTCTGTCTAAAGGACCAATCAGCTGATAAGAACTCAAACCACAGCAGGAAATACCCCTACGTCATTGAGGGTTTAAAGCCCGGAGCGCGAGATCAATCTCTCTCTTCCCCCTGGGTTTCCACACAGGTTAGGAGAGGCCCATTTCACATGAAATGCTAAAAGAAAGCTAACTGGAAGTAGCTTTCGTTGTCCTGCGTCAAAAGTCAAGGATCGCAGTGTCCCATCGTGCATAGCGCCCCAAGACTAGGTGAGACGGGAATCTCCGAAGCTGAACGCTGTGTGGATCTTCCCCCCTTTGTGAGGACCTCGCTACGGACATCACGGCCTATCTGCAGGAGGACGCTTCTGCTTTGATAGCCGTAAGTAAACTTTCCTCGACCTAAAAGCCCATCAAGTTCTTCTGCTGTAGCATCAAACTAACTTAAACCTCTTCTGAGAACGGACGCCTCTGCGTTTCCCCCTCCTCCCCCCGCTTCCTTCCTGGATTGGAATACGTCTCAAAGTAGAACCCATCGACTTTTATATTTGATGCTTTAATGAGGTTCTGCGCTTGGGCGAGTAGGTAGATAGGAGAAACTTGAATTAACGCTAATGTTTAATCTGTGCTGGTTATAAGAACTCTGGTTTAATGGTTGAAATAAGTGTGCTGTGAAAAGNAGATAGGAGAAACTTGAATTAACGCTAATGTTTAATCTGTGCTGGTTATAAGAACTCTGGTTTAATGGTTGAAATAAGTGTGCTGTGAAAAGTTGCAATTAATATTTCTTCCTTCCTTTCCTTCTATCCTACTTTCCTTCTCTTTCTGCTTTAATGTTAGTTTATAGAGAATTTGCCCACATTTAACCCATTGTTACAAGCTGCCCCCCCCTTCATCATAGGAAAACGGGGTCTCACACACACACACATATACGCACATACATCCCTCCCACACACACATACATGCCGCCCTGCTCCTCACGTTTGTTGAACGAACGTCTGCTGCTGTTAATGCATTTTAACCATTTATCATTTTAATCTGAATGTATTTATGTTGTTTTAATTGCACTGTTGTTATTATCATACCTGCTGCTATTCCAAATGGACATTAATGAATGTATTAACATCTGGCCTATCTTGGACAATCTCAGAAGCAAGTTAAACAGACTCTTAGGGTTTTATTCTTTTTTTTTTCTTTCAAACTAGTCACTTAGTCTACCTTGTGTTTATTTTTCTAATAGCATGTAGTGTTTTGCATAGATGTTAGATTTCTGTAATCCTGAATTATTAGAATAAAGACGTCATTGTTTAACTTGCAGTTGTCTGTGATTCATATATATATATATATATATATATTAATGGTTTAATCATTCAGGCCTGATCCACCCTCTTTTGGTAATAGTGTGAATAAACAGAGATAAATGTTTCTTTGATTGATAAATAATAGCTCTGCTGATAACCGAGCCTAGGTCAATAAATTGGTGGGGTTACCTGGATTTTAACAGCCGGTCCAGGAACCCTCCAGAGGTGAAAGGCATAAACCCTGGTAAGTAAGCAAATTAGAGCTACAATTATTCAACTAAGAACACTAAATTAATTTCACCTCATATTTTGAATAAGTGAAATAATTAACTATAACTCCAGTTCTAGTTAATCATTTATTCATTATCTGCAGGATATCATTTTGCTCAACACTCCTCCACGTCGAAANAAATAATTAACTATAACTCCAGTTCTAGTTAATCATTTATTCATTATCTGCAGGATATCATTTTGCTCAACACTCCTCCACGTCGAAAGGAGCCAGCTCCTGGTCGCCTCCCTCGGGAGGTGTTCCAGGCCATTGGGAGGAGGCCTCGTGGAAGGCCCAGGACACCCTTGAGGGTTATGTCTCTGAGCTGGCCTGGTGTCGCCTTGGGGTCCCCCCAGAGCAGCTGGAAGACGTGTGCGTGGCTCTGGAAGTCTGGGCATCTTTGCTCAGACGCTGCCTCTGCGACCCGGCCCCGGATAAACCGGAAGAAAATGGATGGATGGATGGATGGATGGATGGATGGATGGATGGATGGATGGATGGATGGATGGATGGATTGTTTTTTGTAGTTTTTTTTTTCTGAAGGGTTGTAGTCCCCACGTGTGAATGACAACGTCATGTGTGTCCAATTGGTAACAATATTTATAACGGCTGATAGCTGTCTGGATTTGTCAGATCCATCTGGAGTTCCTTTCCTAGCAAGGAAAAGGAGGTAGGAGCTATAACTTGAGCCTGTCTTCACAGCATCTCCATTTCCTGTTGAGGCCTTGATATCACTACATTTTTTCATGAACCGCCTTGACTGTATGATCTTCAACCCATACCTGGTGTGATTTTATCTTGCAGCCGTCTGGTTATTTCCTTCCATGTTTCATTTGCCTTTCTGCATCTCACATCATTATTTCTTAGTTTATTTATTACCTGGACTATTTAATGAGGATCTTTGCAATGTTTGATATTAGTTCTCCTTTGATCCATAAGACCTTTGGTGCTGTGGTATCGGTCTTCATGTGGGCTCAGTAAATCTTGAACCTTTATGTATTATAGATTAATTATCATAAATCATGTGAACTTATTTGATGAAAAAAGAATTAAGCAGTGTTATCAATGTTTTTTTTATTGGATCAAAAAAATGTATAATTTTACATTAAATCATTTTCCTTTCTTTTTCTTTTATTGTGAATTAGAAACTGCAGGCTGTCATCAGGCACTCATCAAAGCAACCAACAATCAGTCAGAACAGAATAATAAAATAAAAACAATGCTGATAGGGGTCAAGGTTGATAGGGGTCAAGTGGGTTTACATGATGGCAGGTGGTCGTATTGCATGACTGGCCAGAAATGAGTGGCAAACAAATAATTAGGGTTGTGCAATTAATTAAAATTTTACCTGACCTGCCCAACGGTTCTAAAAATAGCTGAGTTTTTGATTTAATAGAGGATTGCCCTGTCTGAAGTAATGCAATTGCAAGTGTATTTACCCCGCCCCCTCAAAGTTATCCTGTGAACCTACATGAGGAAGGTTGTTAACAGTTAGCTTTGGACAAATGGCAGAAGGATCACAAAAAACTTGGTTAACAAACAAGGGAATTCCAACTCTCTTATGGGATCACATTGGATTTGATGCAAGGGAAGAGGAGCAGAGGCATGTTACTTGCAAAACATGTTTCTTTGTTGTGGGAGCCCTGACAACCAACAAAACAAATCTTTTTAATCATCTAAAGCGCTATCACTGCGTAGTTTCTGATAACCTAATGAGAGAACAAACAAAGAACAAAAACAAGTCCTTCACCAGTGCAGTGTTCTGTGAAGAATCACAGCGACTCCCTATTCTACAAGATTGGAGCGAAACAAAAAGATTACGGAGTTTATTGCCAATTACCTGACCAAAGGTATGTGGTCTACAAACACCATTGGT